GGAAAAGGCATTTGTTGGTAAACCACAGAAGAGACACATTTTAAGGGTGTTCTACTTTTGTAGACCTAAGTGAATGTCCAGTGAGAGAATGTGCTAGGATTCTTTGAATCCCCACACAAGGGTTGCTAAGTGTTTCTATTTTTCTGGACTACTACAGGAAGTTGTATACTTAATCTTAGCTTCTGTTCATCCATACTTCTGTCTTTGCATATTAATTTTATTTGGAATATTTTTGTAATCTGTATTATTAAAGGAAGCATCTCTCCTGTTACCATTTGTAGCAGACCTCTGCCCTCTTGTGGTCCACCTGAAACACTGCATATACTTTTGTAAATCACAAATTTAATAAGGAATTTTACATGTGATCTTTTAAAATAAAATTTGTTTTTTTTTTCTTTATGAAATTGTTCTACTTTCGAAGGAACAACTGAATCTTCTAGTCACATAACTATACATGAAGTGATCAGGAGGTTACACTGTAGAAATTATTTCAATTTTTATATTTTTAATAATCACCAAAGCAACAGAGATTTTGGGAGCCTTGGTTCTCTCTGGATCAGGGAAGTATACCAGGTAAAGTGCCGACCAGCAGATAAGTGATGGCAGCAGGATAATCAAGGCACTAGCCCAAAAGTAGGCTAATGTCAAATTGTAAAAATCTGGAAGGTTTGTAGCAGAGATGAATTATTGTGTATTCTCTATTCACACATGCAGACCTAAATAACATGTGTGATACAAACCAGAAAGAGCATAATTAACAGAAAATAGTGATTTTCAGTTCAGGCAGCAGAATGTTTCTGTAGTGTTCCCATGTTTAATGTCTGTACTAAGCATGCCTCCCTTCAAACTGAGTAAAGAAATATAACAAACAAGTGCAACAGGCAAAATACTCCCTCACATACACACCACACATACACACATACTTTTTTATTTTCATTTTTTTCTTTATTGTTATAAATGCTATTTTAAATGCATTGTAGATGTTTTAATAATTTCCTATTTCATTTAAACCACCAACAGTCATTAGATTAGATGGAATATAAATGTAATCAATAAAATAATAAACTGCTGAGCTATTGCTTATTTTTTAAGTAAATGTATATATTTCAGGAATATCTATATCGGGGATTTTTAGCTCGCACGAATTGTGCCAGCAATTTGTTTACTTTTCTTTCATATAATAAGAAATTCTATTAAACCCTATTTGCATTACAATATTTTGATGGGGTGGATGTTTTTTGAGTTTTGGCAAAAATGGCTGCCATGACAGGCACAGGTTGTTGCTATATATCCACCTCATAGAAAAGGGGTCCAAAGAGAAGTTATTTGCCCCAAACTAGGGACATATCTCATAACTGAGGCCCTAACAACAGAAATCCGTATCTCTGAACACATAATTTTCTGCTCCAATAAAAACAAATTTAATAAAAAAGCAAAGCAATGAAGCCAAAATATAAAAAGTAAATGTAGTAAATGATGCCGGAACTTAGTCCAGTTCTTTTGAGTTCTCTCTTACAGACTAAACTTTCAATTCATACACCATCTAATGATAAAGTTATGCTCCTTTTTCCTATCACTGTTTGGTTCTTTCCTGACTCTTCCCTGGATTATTCCCAGTCTCTTTTTAGTTCTCCATTTGTCATTCCCGTGTGTCTTTCTTGCTATATAAGGAAACAAGAATTATTCTAAATAGTAATGAAAGATTACTGAAATGATAAGATAAAGGGGTGACTTTCAGATTTTAACAGCCTCTGCTTTGCAAGCAAGTTCAAGAACAAGATGTTTCATCTGTCTAAAAAGATGTTTGAAAGATTCTATTTGCCAACTTCTATTCAAATCAAAACCTGCAGAAAAAAACAATTTTGATAAGTAAAAATAGAAATAATTTACAATCATTAAGAAAATAGAAAGAATATTTTTAAGCTGGTAGTGAAGTTGCTTGAGATTATCATTATAGAGGTGAGAAGGGAACTACAATGGGCAGAAGCAGATAGGCCTTTATTACATCTTTAAACCTACATTTAAAACTTCTTTTGCTAAGGATTAAAAGAGGCTCACCACTTTAAAACTTGTTACTCCATAAGTTCTTAAGAGGTGAAAAACAGTTAAGCAATTTCCAAAAATGATTAAGAAATAAGGCTTGATAAATTTCGTGTCCATATAGACTACAATATAACTGTGAATTTGATTGAAATCCCTCAATTCCCAGCCACTTGACTCATGAGTCAACCAGAAAAACCTTTGTTTCTATAGTCTACTCACAAGGAGCTGCTCTCTGGAATATACGTGAGTAGTACCACAATCTCTCCTTTTCCCAGAGAGATTTTGCTAGCCAGAATTTATTGCCTGGCTATTGATCTCCACTGCAATGCTGTCTTCCACTCCTTCAGAGACTTGTAAGATCCTTACAGGAAGATGACAAGGCACACTGTTGTTTTGCTCACTGTGTCAAGATAATTCTTAACAAAATGTCCATCTTCAAAATGAGCAGTCACTGGCCGGTCATATCCAGCAATTTGAGTGGTTTTGAAATTAGAGAGGTGGTAAATTAACAGACAAGCTCTATGAAAGAGCAAAAAGCTTCACTGGAAGGCAGATACAATAAAAATTTCTTAAGAAACAGTGAACTCCCTCCCCTCCCAAACTATATATAATGACATTATCTGAAATAGAAATTATGAGGTAAATAACTTTGATACTGTAGAAATAAATATCCCCTCCCTGGTAAGCACAGGCACTTATTTTGTCTCAACTGTCACAGAATGATTGGGATGCAAAGAGTTAGATCATTAGGAATATACTGAGTAGGTTTCTCTGGAAATATAGGAATGCAGTAAGTACTGACTGTCTCATCCACAACCTTACTCTGCTGTAGTACCGAAGATACTACATGCTTTTTGGTAAGACAAAAAAGTTAACCATAGATTAACAGTAGTAGGAACTAGGAATGGGTCACAACCAGATTAAGCATCATTTTACAAGTCTGCCTGAAGAAACTCATTAAGCTATTGTTGAAGCTGGTAAAGTGTATTGCCATTAGGAAATGGTGTTCATAATACACCAAGTTAATTAGATTCAGGAATGTAAGGGAATAAGTCCCATCTTTCAAATTTGCTGAGAACATTACTGTAATATTGTCTGCGGTAGAGCAGATATAATCTCAAAATTAGAAGCACTGGCACAGTCATAAGAAGCAGCAACAACAAAAATTATAAATATTTGAGTACATTTGAACCTCTGGGAGTTATGAGAGGCTGATATTTTTCTGAATATCATCAGAATATTTTCTGAATATTCTTGACATGATGAAGACTAATGAGGAGGAAATGGAAGTGGGGACTTCTTTTGGACATCATGTATTTTCTATTATAATAATATAGAACTACCCAATCATAATACAGAAATATATGTCCTTAAGGCCAACTTCTTCATCATAATTTGATGTTTAGAATTCAGTCTTTCATTAAGTTACCCTCATTCTATTCTGCAGGCATTATTTTTTTTCAATCATCTTGAGAGTATCATCCATTACAGTACTGAAATTATTCTCTATAAAACAACATGTATTTTATATGACAGTTAGCCTTCTGCAAAACATCTGACTAGAATAACTATTTTTTAAAACAATCTTTTTCAATTGCCAACTGATTCTGGGCAGCCTCTATTGCCTATTAATGATAGCTGCAATCATGAGGTTGTAGCTGTAACCAGCTAATACTTAGCAGAACTAATTTGTTATTTTGAACCGGAATATGGTTTTAAAAAGACACTGACTATTAGTTTACTGTGAAGATGAATAAATTAAAATTCAGTTTTGATATCTCAAAAGAAGAGCTGATATTATATCAGCCAGGTTTAAAGATTTGTAATCTTAAAAAAGGCAATAATTCTTTATTCCATAGCACCTCATGTATCATTCTCACAACAGATGTAATATGAGATTAAGTATGTGGTGATTAATAAAAATAGTATATGAATTGCCTCCATGACATTGAACTTTAGTAGCAGATGCTGAAAAATGAAATAGCAATCATATAGTTTTCCAAAGTTTTGTCACTGGAGGCATTGATGAAGATGTTCCCCAAGCCTATTTGCTACATTCAGAAGTGCTTGTAGAATTGGCATAATCATAAGTGTACACATTTTTTAATGAAAAACTGATTAACTAAACAGGAGACACTGGTGAACACTTAGTTCAGGGTGTATTCTCCCCCACAGAACTTTGGGATATAATGATCCTTATATCCTTATCCTTGTTATGAAAACATTGGTAAGGTCCAAGTCATATTCTGCTCTTAATTATTCACCTACATCCAAAGGAAGTCCTTTGGATGTAGGTGAATAATTAAGTTGCTCTTGAAGAAGTAGCACAAGGTAATTTTTTAATATTATGGCAAGCATGGCTGGATAGTAGATTGCGATTTTATTGCTATGCCATTGAATGTTCAATATAACTTTTGATTTAATTACTGTATATTTTAATTCTATTACTATATTGAGTATAAGCAACTCAGAATATTTTTTTTGAGTAGCATATAAGTAAGTATAAATAAACACATAGGCTTGCATGTTTTAACATTACCAGGCTTACCTTTGTTTCTTGGAGCATTATTTAAAAAAACAAAAGTGCTGGACTGCAACCAATCCATCATTTGTCTTTTCTTAAAATGCCTATAAGGTAGGGCCTATGGAAGATCCAGAGACATACACAAATATGTGGGCTTCCATTTTAAAAATAAAATAAAATAATGAGAGACAATGTTAAATGGATGGGGAGGGAAAAATCAGCAGAAGTCAGTGATGTTTTGCTGGATTCATTGTCTACTCCTGAATAAATCATTCTCCTCAGAAATGAGAGTTTGGGAACTCTAGTCTTCCCACCGTCATTTTTCTCATATACTGCAATTTTAACTATTGAGTATCTCACCACAGCTCTAGATGAGGCAATCCTTCGAGGGCCCACTTCCCCACCTACCCACTACAGCAAAAGAGAAAGGTACCTTGGTGCCATGATAAAAGTCATCCACACAGGTTGCATTCATGAAGGTTTGGTGGAAGTGGGTGCTGGTATCAATACCACCAGGGATCACCAGCTTGCCAGTGGCATCTATGACTTTGGCTCCGCCAGGAATCATGAGTTCACGGCCCACCTGCTGTATGATGCCATTCTCAATATAAACATCAGCTTCAAGGGTGCAGTCATCATTCACCACTTTCCCCCCTTTGATGAGGATCCTCATTATGGCGGCATTGGCAAGCATGATTCTGAAAAAAAATGAGGCAGCAGATAAGTTAGAGGAAAATTGAATTGGCAAAACACAGTTTCAGTCCAAACAGCCAAAGGCCAAACAACTCTGTAAGTTTAACAAGACAACCGTATCATTATGATGGTTGGTCACAGAGTCAACCAGATGTTTATGCTAGATTTAATATTTTTATTCCACCTATATTCCAAGAACCTGGGATAGACAGATGTTGTTGTTGTTGTTGTTATTATTATTATTATTATTATTATTATATTATGGTATATATTATTAATAATAATAATATATACACAACAATGTGAAATCACAGCTGTCACTTCTTTAGCTGGTGTTGGCCTTTATTTGCATCATGTTTTTCTCTGGAATGTCATAATGTATCAGCATAGTGTATGTGCAAATCCAAGCAGTGTGGCTTTTTGACATGGAAATTTCATCAATGCACAGATTTCCAAGTGTCATCCAAGGCTTCTTGGTATGTGGCTAATTATTATATTTTATTATAATAAATTATTAACAATTATATAATCAACTAATCAATTATTATAGTTGCCCACTGCAGAAGTTGGCTTACAATATCCAAGAATTAAAAGACAATTAAAAAACACATAAAACAAGATAAGGCAGCAAGGCCAAAAACAACCATTTCAATAAAAAAAGATCCAATAAAAATACAATCTGTGTTCCTCAGGTGTACTACTCTCAAGGTTGGGGTCAGAGCCAAGTTTTAAGGTCTTCCAGAACCTCAGAAGAGTGGGTGCCTCATTTTAGGGGGATGCTTTTCCAAAGGGTAGAGGCGGAGACAAAGAAGACATGTTTTCTTAGTTCCACAAGATGAAATATTTAATTGAGGGAAGTGGAGTATACCCACTGTCCCTGAATGTACCAGGTGGGAGAAACAACTGGAGATAGGTGGTGCCTCAGCTATCCAGGTCCTGAAGGGTGAAAATCAGGCATGAAAGGCTTTAAAAATAACAACCAATACCTTGAATTTCACTCAGAAACCTGCTGGCAGCCAATGCAGCTCATAAAGCAACAATGGTGAATGGGCATAACAAGAAGTGCCATTTACTGTTTGTGCCATTGCATTCTGAGCCAGCTGTGGCTTCCAGATGGTTTTCTAGGGCAGTGCATTTCAATAATCCAGTTGTGAAGCGACCAGGACACGAGTGACTGTCTAAAGGACTTCCTGGTTGAAGAAAGGGTGCAATTAGTGCAAAAGATGAACCTGCACAAAGGCCCTCCTTCCCTAAGTTGGTGACTGAATGAAAATGGTCCAGGATGGTTGAGTCCAGCAATGAGGACAAGGTGCATTACTGCCTACTTCAAGATCAGTAGAACTATCCCCTCTCTTGGAGGCCAGTACCACTGCATGGACTCAACTGTACTGTCTGTCACTTCCTAAGTAGCCTTTATAAAAGCCAGGAGGATCAAAGATCTAACGAACAGGTGGCTAGATTAATAGTCCCTTTTCCCAGGTAATCAAGCCTGACTGTGCCTGCACTACTTTGACTAGACTAGTCCAGATATCTCTAAGATGTTCATACATTCTTGTTCTTCAGAACTATTCTGATTCCAAAAATGAGACTTTTGAATGGCTACGACATACTGAGTTTCCAGACTCAAACAACAGGAGCTGTGAAGGCATACAGACGTGGCAGGCTAGCATTACTCCTTGAGAGCTGGGAGTTGGGCAAAAAAGCTCACAACTGTATGATCCCCATTTCTGGGCCCAAGAGAAAATAGTTGTGGGCTTTTTTGCCCAACTTCCAGCTGACAGGCAGATTGGGACAGGACAGTCTCACAGCTGAAATACTGTATTATGCATGATTCTAGTTACAGTCCCTTAAAAAAAAGTGCTGAAAATGTACAAGAAAGGGCAACCACCATCACCAAAGGAAGGGTTAGATAATTTATTCTGAGTAAAGTGACAACATTTGGGGCTTCTTAGCTTAGAAAAAAGGACAAATGAGCAAACATGACAAATTAAGCAAAAAAATTGATAATAGTAAAAGACAGTATCATTCACTCAAGGAAAATGGGAAAATAAGTTAGGACTGAAAATAAGCTTCTGAAATGGCAGTGCTAAATTAGGAAATTTACTCCCACAAGTTTTAGTGACAACCCAACTTGGGCAACTTAAAAAGAGATGAAATAAATTCATGAATAACAAGATTTCCAATAATTACTATTTATTTTGGCATATATTTCTGGAATCAAAGACAGCAGGTTTCATGGTATCAGTTCGTCACAGTATTTATCCTGGTACAAAGCTGAACTAGGAAGACGTTCAGTTTGATTCAAGATGATTCTTAACATTTTTATATCACATTTCTTTAAAATATAAATAAATAAACCACTTTCAAGCTCAATTCATTATTTTTAAAGGACAAAGCAGCTTCTATAAGATCTTAGGAAGCAGTCCTTCAGTGGGAAAATATATTCTTGACTTTGAAAAAAAAATTATGTTTGTGTGTGTGTGTCTGCATCTAGGCTTTGAAACTGACTCCCCCTGCCCCCCCCACCAGAGATACAACTAGCATACACCTATTTTTTTCAGGACTGAATGAAAAAGTCTCTTTTGCCCAAGCACTCTAGTTTTTAAAAGCATTTATTTGCTGATCAATAAATAATATTTTTATGTCACTTGGATGCAGGTCAGAGATCCCCTATAAATATCAGCAGAATGATTTCACTCCATCAGAAAACTTTTTTTCTTTTCTGCAGGAACCATAAAATCTATAAAAAAAAAAGGCCCCAAATGTCACCTACCACATATACAAAAAAGAACAGAATTCTTCATTCAGCACCAGAAGCTCCCCTTTGCCATGAAATCTATGTTGTTTATGGCTAATCTAATAGCTGCAGACCTGGAGGGATCCAGAGAACTCACAAGCAAAGCAATCTTGCATTCCCACAACCAGAACTAAGATCTAAAATGATGTTTCTCAAATTTGGCAACTTTTAAGATGTGTGAACTTGAGCTCCCAAAATTCCATGGTTAGTACGCTGGCTGGGGATTCTGGGAGTTGAAGTCCACATTCAAACTTACTAAAGTTAAGAAACACTGAGAGAGAGAGAGAGAGAGAGAGAGAGAGAGAGAGAGAGAGAGAGAGCGAGAGAGAGAGAGAGAGAGAGCGAGAGAGCGCAGTCTTATTCTAAACACAAGCTAATGTTTTGTTTGTGTGGGCAAATATATTCATGATATCCCCAAAAAGAGAGAGGTAGCAGAGTCCAATGACTAGAAATGCAATTTTATTTCAAAAAATATGACCCTGAGCAGAAGTATAAGCTTCATCTCCAGGTGATAAAATGTAACAGCAAAGCTTTCATACCATTTAACTAGAAAAACCATCATATATTGACAACCAAATGTTTGCAACTGATAAAGCCAGATCAAACAGCCTTGGGCCAGTGCTACACAATCTGGATTTGTAGATTATGCATTCCCTTCTTTGATTTACTGAGCCATAACCATTTGTATATTGTATACTTCAAGCTTGCAAATATCATCATTCACACTTATTTGCATAACTTTAAGTCAGCCAGCTACACTATATTTATTAATTTTTTAGAATTTTGATGCCACTCACATATATTTGTAAATACAGGGCTTTTTTTCTCATAGAACGCCCAGAATGGAGTTCCGGCACCTTTTTTGGATGGAACCTTATAGGATAGGCAAGGCGGGTTTGTATGACGTGTGTGAGTTCCGGCACCTTTTTTTTTTTTTTTTTTTTAGAAAAAAAGCACTGTGTAAATATATACAGTGCTTTTTTTCTATAAAAAAAAAAAAAAGGTGCCGGAACTCACACATATCATACAACCCGCCTTGCCTACCCTACAAGGTTCCATCCAAAAAAGGTGCCGGAACTCTGTTCTGGGCGTTCTATGACAAAAAAAAGCCCTGAATATATACATTAACAATCACCGTAAAAGGTCTAAATCTCTGTGGAGAAAAGTACAAGTTTAGCCCTTTTCTAAATTCAGTAAGGAAGAAAAAGTTTCAGTTGCAAAACCAGTTTGTTCTACAATTTAGGTACCATTATGGAAAATGCAGGGGTTATCTATCCTCAATATACCCGTGACAGGTGTGGTCATTCTAAATAGGAGCCACTGTACTAAGAAAACTGAAATGCCTTAGGAGCAAAATCTCAAGAAGAGGGAGAACCTTCACCCATGTACACAACCTAGTACACAGGTGTCAAACTCGCCGCGTCACATGATGTGTCGTGACGTATCACAGCTTTTTTTGCATTGCCGGAGCTGGGGTGGACGCGGTCTCTGCATGATGAAACTGGCCCACGGGCCGGCAGTTTGACACCCCTGCCCTAGTATAAGAGTAAAATTTCTTCATGATAGGAACTCCCTTTCCTTTAAGGAATGGAATCTCTTAGCTGATAATAAAGATGGAAAAGTTTGAGAAGAGGAATTAGATTAATTTTGGACAGGGAACTGGAGTTGTACTCAAACTAGATTTGGGGCTGGCAATCAGGCAGTCACATGAGGTTTCAGAGGTACTACACATAGTGAAGAAAGATAAAGAGACTAAAATTTATGTGAGGAAGGCAGACAACTAAAAAAAATGTACCCACCATTAGTATTACTTTTTGGGCTTGTGCCATTTTGTACAGTCTTTGTATATATGCATGTAAAAGAACCAGAAATCAAATCCATCCAATGTACCAGGAAGAGAGGGCAAATCTCTGCTAACCTTCTCCTTTATATTCAGACAATATAGATAGAGGGGAGCTTAGTTTATTTCAAAATAATCCCAGGCTCCTTTGGGTTAAAACTTTTTCTAATGATCTCCTCCAGGCCAATTCACCATATTCATTTAGACACAACCAATGTACATTAGAGCAGTGGCCCTCAACCTTTTGGGCACCAGGGACCAGTTCAGTGGAGAGAGGTTTTTCCCGCATCCTGGAGGGGTGTGGTTTCGGGTACTGCCTGCATCCCACAGATGGGGCTTCGCTTGTTTGCGTGGCCCAGTTTCT